CTTCCCCACCCCGCCCAGGCCCATGGCTGCTTCCCGCTCCACGGCCACAGCTCGCCCACCGCGCCCAGGCCCCCGCTGCTTCCCAGCTAGAACTTTCCAGCCGTAACTCATGTACAGGTTTCCGTTTCTCTTGTCATTTTAAACACATTTCTCTCTGCTGAGAGGGTGGCAAATAAAAAGGGGGCAACTGTACCCACAGCCTGGTTGGAGCTCATTTAAGAAAACTGGTCAAATCCTACACCTCGAGGTCAGGGCCCGCCCTCTCAGACACGCCCGCTCCCGGGCCAGTGGCCTCTCAGCAGGTGGCGACAGGGGTACAGAGCACTCGGCACAGAGCACTCAGCACAGAGCACTCAGCACTCAGCACCCAGCACTTGGCACACGACGGCCAGAGCCCACATCCAGGGGGGAAGCGCTCACCCTGTTAAAGCGCTTGGCTTGGAAGAGGTGGCCGTTGGCGCGGTACAGCTTCCTCCATCTTCGGGCTCCGCGGCGGTAGATGGATTCTGGAAAGGACACGGGAAGGTTGTGAGCAGGTGCCTTCGGGACAGGCTGCTATCGGGCGGCCAGGGCCTGGGAGGCAGGTCAGAATTCAAAACATAATGTTCAATATTTGCCAATGTTATTTACGATAAGGGTTTAATCTCCAACATTTACAGGAAAACTCATACAACTTAACAAAAAGAAGATAACCCATCCCCACGTGGCTCCCTCTTCACGTGGTCCCATCACACCCCGGGGGGGAGGACAGACGGGCCCAGACAGCAGCCCGATGCTGCAAGGCAGGCACCCGCCAGGGTCAGGCTGAGGGACCATCCGAGACCGTGTCCTCCCGCCTCCTGTGACCCCTTCGCTCCGGCAGGGACACCGGGTGCCTCGTACCCGGGACGACGAGACTCGAGCTCAGGTGAGATTTATGCCTCCCGCCCGCCCAGGGGCAGCGGCTGCCACGCGGTCCAGTGAGCCTGACCACGGCGCCCACCAGCGCCGCCCAGTCCCCCAGACACGAGCCCCTGGGGGTCCTCAACCCAACAAACCCCGGGGCAGGGGAAGCAAAAGAAGGATCCCATCATCGAACGCCACTTTCACGACACGCATGCGATCAAGTCCGGAAGGGGAGTGGGGAGCCCTCTCCCGGGGCCACGTCGGGACCCAGTTCTGGTCCCAGAGCGTAAGCCCTGCACCCCAGCCCCTTTGACACGGGCGTGTGAAGCAGCGCCTTCAGCCAGCAGCTCCAGCTCACAGCCCCACAGGGGAGACCTCGGGGGACTGGACAGGGGTGGGGGGGGCGGGGGGACGCGAATGTGGAAACGGAGACGGATGCTTTTAAAACAAGCAAGTGACTGGCTTGGGCGGGAATTGCCGGAACCTGGTCACGGTGAGCGCAGATCTGCTTCTCCCGGTCAGAGCCACGCGGCTGGGTTCCTGGGGGGCAGGAGCCACAGCCAAGGTGGGGGCCACGTGGCCTGGCCCTCCCTCGAGGGCTCCATGCCCAGGGGCGACCAGGGTGGGGCTGGGGGCAGAGCGAGCACCTCCCTCCCCACCACGTGGGGCTCATACCTCAGGCTCGGCCTGGGGTCCCTCGTCCACGTGCCCCTCGTCCCACCTGCCCCCCATCAGCCTGCCCCTGACCCCCCCAGGGCCTCTGTCTGCCCAGACGACAGGTGCCCCCCTGGCTTGTTCTGGGGGAACCTGGTCCACGGTGGGTCCCTGCTCACGTCCACAGGAGTGACCGTCCCCCCAACAGAGCGAGGCAGCAGGGCGCAGGGGCCGAGGCAGGGATGGCCGGGGGGCTGGGCAGGTCGGGGGGACACACCAGCCCCAAGGCGCTGGCTCTGCCCTTCGCCCGTGCACTCGACAGGTCAGAGACTGAACACGCCACCGGGTGTCCAAGTCGCTTAAAGCTGCGGAACGGAAACCGAGCCCTCCTGGCAGAGGCCGAGGGCCGAGGGAGACACACAGGCGGAGCCAGCGAGGGGACGGGCGGGACCACGAGTGACGGGTCCGCGGTGAGAGCCCTGGGTTCCCGTGAAGCTGAATGTCCGTCCCCGATCCGTCCGGGGAAGCCCTGAGCCTCGGGGGGAAGCCCTGAGCGGGGGCTGCGTTTGGAGGGGGGCCTGTGAGGGGCGAGGCCTCTGATGGGACACGTGTCTCCGTAGGAACAGGAGAGCCGAGCCGGGTGGGCTCAGTGGATAGAGCGATGGCCTGTGGACTGCAAGGTCCCGGGTTCGAGTCGGGTCAAGGGCACGGACCTCGGGTGCAGGATCCTCCCCAGCCCGGGCCCTGGTTGGGGCGCCTGCAGGAGGCAGCCCATCGAGGTCTCTCTCACGTCGATGTGTCTCTGGGTCTTTCCCTCTCTCCCCCACTCTCTCTAAAAATCAATGGAAAATGCCCTCGTGTGAGGATTAGAGAGAGAGAGAGAGAGAGAGAGAGAGAGCGCCACAGCCCTGTTCCTGGGAAGCGACAGCCACAGGAGGAAAGTTCGCAGGAGAAGGAAGGCGTGTGGGCGCTGACGGGGGTGGGCGCCGGGAACAGCGGCCG